CGATTTTATAATGTACATTTAAGTTATACTAATGAACGTTGCAGGCCCAGTACTATGGTGTCATTGGTCTTGGCAGTCCTGAACAGTCTTTCAAGGTTGTATTTGATACTGGTTCATCTAACTTGTGGGTACCCTCCAAGAAATGCAAGTGGACAGATGTAGCATGCTGTGAGTAAACACTGTAGTTAAACGTTTCAAAAGTGGCCTGTTTTCTCAGTATGCCACAATACTTGCAATGACTGTAAATGAAACACTGGGAACACATCTAAAGCTTGATTTCATATATATGATGAAAAATAGTTACTTTAATTTTTTGACAATAATTTTACAAGTATGCTTTAACATTTAATGATTAAATGTGTTTTATTTTTATGATTATTATTATTATTATAAGTGATTTTATATAGCGTGGTACCCCAGCCAGTGCTGGGCTCACCACGCTGTACATACAATTTAACAAACATAATCAAAAACTTTAAAAATTAATTAATATACATTAATTAAATATAACAAAACAATTGTATATTTAAAACTATGTCAAGCCTTGTATTTACATGATTATACCTTAATCAGTAATATGAACCAGTTAACAATGATTCAAATATTTAGGTTCATCTACTTATTGAGGAATTTTTAAAATATTATTACCTTTTTTTTTTGTATTCAATTTCAATCATGAGCAGTACTTCACAACAAATATGATAGCACAAAATCAAATACATACAAGGCCAATGGAACTAGCTTTGCTATCCAATATGGCACAGGAAGTCTTACCGGATTTCTTAGCACTGATGTTCTAACAGTAAGTTTTAATGAGGTTTCAAAGAATATAAATTACTTTTATTAATGTTTTTATTTTATGCAGTCATGAAAATGCTCTGGAGGCTATAGGTATGTACTCAGCTGTCTTTTAAAAAAAAATCAGCTCATTTATCTAATTATAGATCCTGTGATCTGTCAATGTGGGTGTGCCTTATGCTTAAAATGCTAATTAGAAAAATATTTAAGAAAAAACATCTAAGATAAACAGGTTATGTCAAAACTAGGCAGAGAATGTTGTGTGGAAAAGTTAAAATCGCAAAGGCAATCAAGGAAAGAAAAGATTTAAAATAAAATAAGTCTTTCTATCTGCCTCGTTAGTCACTTGACTTTTGGTAAAAGAGAGAAAACCATAGTGTGGATCCCAAATAAAAAATACCATAATCTTAAATGAAATTCTTATCATCTTAGCCTAAAAATTGCTTGAATCTTTTTTTAAAAAAAACCCCACATAACTCTGATATAAAAATTAAAGAGACTTTAACAAGCCATAGTTTAAGTTTGTTTGGAATTTTGATAATTTACTGTATTTCCGCATATATAAGATGTGTCTTATACAAAGTTTTACATACCCCGCACCCAGAGTGCATCTTATATATGGGGCATCTATGTAAAATTTTTTTTACACAAATCGCAAAACCCACGTCTTATATATTATGGGTGCGTCTTATAATTATGCGTGTCTTATATGCGCGAAAATATGGTAAGTAATTTTAACATGAACAAACGGCACGGTGTGTGATATTGAAGGACGATTATTGCTGTCGATATTCACGTTTCATGACTTTCATTCCTAGTTGTAAAAATAATTGGGTAAGTGTTCAGTAATGTCAGCATGTACCAATCCAATGCAGGCCACTTCAAATTTAAAATCCTTTTGTTTCAATTTTTTGTATATCATTGAGGCCGCCTTTACATCTGGCGTTTATTGTTTCTAGGATCTAGATATAGGTACTCAACCCATCCGCTACTGGCCTGGCAACAGATAAGAATAAACAATAATTACATCTGACTGGTGATGAAACATTGGACAACTTTTCATTTATGATTAAGGAAAAGAAACCACTGGATATAAATTGCTCAGTGCAGCGTGTGTCTTATGTAATTTTTATTTACACAAATCGTCAAAACCCATGTCTTATGTAAAATATTTCTTACACAAATCGTCAAAACCTGCGTCTTATATAAGGTGCATCTTATATACGGGTGTGTCTTATACATCGGTGCGTCATATGCGCAAAAATACAGTAAATATTATCGATTTCTACAAATGTTCAGGGTTTTAGGTTTATTTAAAACAACCTGGAACTTGAACAATATTCCATTTTGAATGTGGTCTACATTATAAATTGATAGAGAGATCATTATGAAACATGCAAAAACCTCTTTATTCTTACAGATTTCTGGACTTAAAATTCAAAATCAGACATTTGCTGAAGCTGTAACCCAGCCAGGCATCACTTTTGTTGCTGCCAAGTTTGATGGCATTTTGGGTCTAGGCTATGACACCATATCTGTTGACAGAGTTGTTCCCCCTTTCTACAACATGATCCAGCAGAAGTTGGTAGACTCTCCTGTGTTCTCATTTTTCTTAAACAGGTTTGGTTTATTTTGAAAAATAGAAACTAATTTCATTTACTTCATTCATGGTGCTGAACTTAAATATCTTTTTTCTATGCTGGATAACCAAAAAAATCTGAAATATGAATAGTAAAATTTAATCATTAATATGTTTGTGGAGAGAATTAAAGAAGTAAGACGTAGTGTATTAAAATGACTCCGTTGTTGAGCAACAAGACAATTGTTTAGATCCACATTAATAAAAAATTTTTTAGTGTAGTGATTTTAATTTGCTTAAAAATCTATTCATTTTCAACTAAAAATCTTGTGTTATTTATTTTTTATACTGTACAGTTTTGCTAGTATGCTTATGTTCTGCATGGATCGGCTAGTTAATGATTTAAAATCTATTACCTGTAGATGGAACTTTTTATTCTCTTTAGGAATGCCACAGCTTCTGAAGGTGGAGAAATAGTATTTGGTGGGAGTGACCCAACATTGTATGAAGGAAACTTCACATACGTTCCAGTGACACAGAAAGGTTACTGGGAATTCCAAATGGATGGGTAATTGTAACAGATAATTTATCCACACCATGTAATTTTTACAAATTGGTTTAATTTGACCAAAGGTTCTTTGGACAGCATCGTCTATTTCGAATTAAGTTCTTGGAAAAAAAAAAGTTTGAATAACTATCTAGTTTAGGATTAACTTTTGACATGTTTGAAATGATAAGTGAAACAAAATTATTTTGACTTAGTAGTTTAAGGATTTCTTTCTATTTATGAAATTAATAAAGGTTTAGATGCTATATAAATTAAGCGTTTGGATAATAAATAACTTGAAATTTTAAACAAAATATATCAGCAAGGACACATGTACAATTCCCTCAGCATGATGGCCAGTCTTGCCTGATTTACTTCATAATAAAAAAAACCTGATCATCTTTCTTTTGTTGTTTAATTCATTAAAGCAGATGCTGAACTGTCACTTGAAATTAAAAAAAAACATATGTATGGTTCCAGATTGTCAGTTGCATCCACAAGCTATTGTAATGGTGGCTGCAAGGCTATCGCTGACACGGGCACCTCTTTGTTGGCCGGACCAAGCAGTGAGATTGAAAAACTTAATGCACAAATTGGTGCCACCAAGTTTATTGAAGGAGAGGTATTTAAATGATTATGTATCATTTGGCGATTAATAGGTTATTTATGTTGAATTCTGTGTAGAAAATCTACACCAAAAAATTGAACGCTTGACAAAGTTTAAAATTAAAGAGATTTACGTTTCATTTTTACGTTATTTTACGCCTGGCTGACTGACACCTGGTATCTTAAAATCTTTCAACTTGTAAATTTCTTTTAGTACCTTGTTGTGTGTGCCAATATCCCAAAGATGCCTAATGTGACCATTACTATTGGAGGCAAAGACTTTGTTTTGACACCCCAGGAGTATGTGCTTACTGTAAGTATCTTAAATGGTGTTCGTTTTTTTTTTTTTTTTCATTTGTCTTTTCAATTGGTTGTATGTATGTTAGTTTCAGTATTCCGATTTAAAGACTTTGTTTTGACCCCCCAGGAGTATGTGCTTACTGTAAGTATCTTAAATGGTGTTCGTTTTTTTTTTTTTTTCATTTGTCTTTTCAATTGGATGTATGTATGTTAGTCTCAGTCGGCATTGTCAACTGAGCTTATTATTTGTGAAGACAAAAGTATTTTATTGTGCTAACAATTTTTCGTTTAAAATAACAGGTAACCACAATGGGTCAGTCTGAGTGCATCAGTGGCTTCATTGGACTCGATGTACCTCCTCCAATGGGACCACTTTGGATTTTAGGAGATGTCTTCATTGGCCCTTACTACACCGAGTTTGACATGGGCAACAATCGTTTGGGATTTGCACGTACCAAGGGCTCTCTTGGAAGTTCTCAAGAAAGTTTGCGATATGACACTATGAAGCCAAGGAAGAATGGGAAGAGTGTCTTAATGATGTCGATGGAAGGGGACTATTAAAGCAACAATCTCACCAATAGACCATGTGTATAAAAGTACAGACAGCAGCAATTTAGCATAAGCTTTCTCATATTACTAAACATCAGCCTTATGATGCTTTAAGGTTTATTATGTTTGCTTTGAGACCTAATTATTAACGCAAACTAAATATTGTTGAAAATTGTCTTACTGAAATTGTTCAATTAAGTGGATTTATTTATTTCCAATTCAAATTTTTCTTTTTTAATAGAATAGTACCTTTGTGGAATGAGAAAGCCATAAAGAAATCATTTAAATACTCTATTTTTTTTTTTTAACATTTGTATTAACAAAATATATATGTTTTAACTAAAATTTTTGGTGGTTGATTTTAAAAAATTAAAAATATTGAAGTGGTGTTTTTTTAATCGTACAATGATGATGCAAGTTCTGTGTCTATCATGAACTCTTCATGAAAAAAATGATGTTCTGCTTTTGACGTAGTTTTAAGTATTAGTTTTGCATTTATGGTCCTTAGCACATTTTGTCTGTTTCATTGTTAAACATTCCTATTCTTAGATTTGTAAATTTTTTTTCTTCCTTAGAAATGAATGTTATCTTCAACCAATTGCCTTCACCAGTGTTTGTAAAAAATAAAAAAAATAAAAATTGTGTTGAAATAAAAAAAATAATTAAAAAACTTTCTTAAATCGCATTTTAAAAAAAAGTAGTTTCATTAACAAATGTCTTTGTGAATATAACCATAAAAGACATCAAATTTTGGTGCAATGTTTTTAATCATTTCACAAATGTCTCTTGCAAACTTAACATTCACACATTATTTCATGCACAGCTGAAAAAATGGCCTATGTACAGATGATATAAGAAATGAGGCTATTGTTACTTCCTTATCATGGGTCTCATTGGGCCCATTGGCATCATACCCATTGGAGGTCCTCCCATAGGTGGGCCCATTGGACGCATTCCTGTAAAATAAACAATCGCATTCAGCTTCAAATGGCAGCCCATAATTCCATTAATAACACTTATGAACATATCATCAACACACTTCAACCTTTGCACTTTCTTGCGGTTATTTTTAATGTGTAAGAGGATTTATAGAATTTTACATTTCATGCTTCCAAAATTTAAAAGTTCAAAGTATAATTTTTTAAAAAATATAAACCCTATGATAATATTAAATATGGCTGCAGCTCCAAAAAAAAAAATTTCAATACTGATACTCCATATAAAATAATTTTCAAAATTCAAATGTAGGCTACAAAGTTTGAAAAAAAAAATACTCATAAAAGGCATATTTTTCTTTAAAAAGATGAAGTACCAAAAATGTGTTTCATTACCTGGCATCATAGGCCCCATAGGACCTGGACCCATCATTGGCATCATCGGCCCACCTGGTCCCATAGGTCCTCTTAAAGGACCCATTTGTCCTGGTATGCCTGGGCCACCCATCATTGGTTTAGGGATATTGGCTAAAGAAAATAAAAATTCAAGAACAATAAAAAGATAATTTAATAATTTGTAAGACTCAGTTCTAAAAATGAGTGAGCTATGAGCAACAGATTTAATGCAGTTTAAGAAAAAACAACCCATAATCAACTAATCTTTAAATGAACAATGAAATTGTAACTAGACCTTAACAGATTTGGTAAAATTTTACTATTCAACGTCTGCGTTCAACCCAACCTAATACTAAATATTATATTACATTTAGAAATGGCGTCAGCGGGCCATCGAGCTTGCGCTCTTTATGCCATCCCCAAAACACCCCTCCCCAACCCGGTATCGGGCCGCGGAGCGGCACGTCGGGGATGTCCCTTTGTCAGGCAGCTTCCACCCGAGTTTGCTCGACCAGGGTCTCGGGCAGGGGGCCGTCCTAACCCAAAGACACCCGGTCGGTCCAACACTGTGTTTGCACACAGTGCACACAATCGACTTTCTCAGGAGTCGGGATGGAAAAATTTATGTCCTAATATCTTCCCCCACCCATCCAGGGGAAGCGTTAGACGCCCTATAAGAGGGATTCTACAGTGGGTTTCCACAACGCAACTAATTCGCGATGCAGCTGGGACGAAACGGTTGCCTTGGAGCAGCTTCTCAGGGCTGCGTAGTAAGAATCATCGGCTAGAGGTTACCACCTTCGCCTCTCATCCATTAACGGCAACTTGTAATCATGATCCCTAATACTAAATAAATTGTTCAATCTATCATAAAATGAAGGTTTTGAGATACTAGAAGCAATATTCTTTCAGAAAATGTCAAGTTACAGGTACTTATATTGAAAATTGTAATATAGGTGCTTATAGGTGATACTTGTTTTAATTCACTATATTTAAATTTCTGTCATACAAAATAAAACAGGGAAAGCATTAAATGAGTTTAAAAATTCCATTGGAAGTGAAGTTAGTTAATCCATTTCTTATTAATTAATATCCCAGAACATACACAAACATTAATGTCTTTGAATCTCTTCAGGGAATGTCTCTGGGGTCCAATCTATGTCTGTTCTGTTCGATTTCCACCCTTCCCCAAACAAACGTGTCTGGAACAATACGACTTAGGGCTAAAATTGTCAATACCTGCTTATGTCGTCATCACTGCTAGAGCTAATACTGTCATTACAAGCCATATGGAATATCTCTAAAATAAATGCTTTCATTTGAATCAATTTGAAATAATTCATATAAAGAAATTCTGTATTGATTTTGCAATCTACAGGGGGGACCCTCTCCAGCATAAGATATAAATACTGTCAAAATAATTTCACACCCGCTTAATGACATAAATAGCCCTGATAAAAGCATGTTAACACACAGATGGAAATGGAAGTATGAAACAAACTTCATATAGAGTGATTAGCCCTTAACCAATATACATTAACTCATTCTCATTTTTAACTACGAATTTTGAAGGCGGCTGATGATCAACTGTTATGACAGTTAAAAGGTTAATATACAAGTAATAGCGTACAAGAAGTATTTTTTAATAAGCAACTGTTAGCATATCAATATGCCTTATTATTAACCTAAAGCCACCCCTTTTGTGGTATCTCTCTTGAGTTCCTCAAACATGTCTTCAAAGTTTATCTCAATTGTCTAAAAAAAAATAATTAATTAATTAATAAAATAAAAAGAAGTAATACTAAAAAAAAAGCATGACGTAAAAAAGGGCGTCTAAAATAAATATGTACTTACGAGCACCAGGTGGAGGAATCATGACACCTCCAGGTCCAGGTATACCCGGACCGGAAAATGGATTAGCACTGATTTTTCCAGCTTGATACGCAGCAGCTAAAAAATATTGTTATAGTTTAATGCAAAATATAATATTTAACTACAAATGTATCAAGACTTTTTGAAGAAGAAAAAGCCTTTAGCACAGGAAAAGATGAAGGTGGATAAGGCATGCTCTATGAAAACCTCAAGATAGCACCACCAGACATGTGCCTTACATGGAACCCACAGGGAAAAAGAAAGAGAGGAAGGCCTAAGAATACATGGGGACTTGAGCTAGGGGCTGATACACAAAATATGGGATACACTACAAGCAATTGGAAAGGAAAGCACAGGACCGTGATCAGTGGAAAATTCTTGTAGACGGCCTATGCCACCAAACGGGGTAAAAAGGCATAAGTAAGTAATTACAGGTTCCCAACCTTTGTAGAGTCGCAACCCTGATTTACAGAGGACAAAGTGACATATAACCTTTGACCCAGATACATTAAAAAAAACCATGTGTATCATGAAATAGTTTACATTTTTCAAAGACTCAATATAAAAACTAAAATTTCTGTTGACTCTTCGCGACCCAGAGGTCTATAGGATAGTTATTACTCTATTTTCATTTATTGCAGGTGATAAATCATTAGTATTACAGCGGATCTTATTAACTTACTTGTGTCATCAACAAGCTTCTGTACCTGCTCCTCCAGCCATTTTTGGTAATATAACCTTACATTTTCCTTATGCTTGCGCCCATTGCAATGAGTTTTACGAACTGAGGGCTAAATCACAGAATGGAATGGTGAAATTATTATCAATTAATTGTGTCATGTAATTTTGTATTTAAAATAAATTATTTCTAACATTGAGCATTTGTCTTGAAATTGAATCATTTTGCTTAGATGATGAAACTGAATAAGTATCTTTAAATAGTGCGTGCTTTAATCATTAAGTTAAATGATAAAATACTTACAGAATCGTGTGTCAAGTATGTGTCACAGTAGTCACAATAATATCTGGAACAAAAAAAAAATTAATGAAAAATTTAAATTAAACTTACGTTATTGACAGCATCATTTAATTAAATGTTCATAGGATTATCATTTCTAAGTTTTTAAAAGATACATTTGCCCATAAATGTTCACAAAACTATTTTCCAATAAAGATACAAAACAAATAAAACTTAATTTATTTTTAATGGAAGTTTAAAATGAAATGTATAGATTTAACTGAAATAAAACATAACTCATTTAATTCATTAATTACAAATGTGCATTTAATTCATTTATAAGAAGAAGAAGAAAAAGTTGAATGCAGATGACAATTTTATTTGTGATACATCCTACATCTGGCGGGCAACAATAATATTTAATGTTACAGGCAACTCCTGATTTAATCCTATAGCGCCTAATTAATGACTATCACTATTTTTTTTAGGCTTAGGCCCAATGAAGTTAAATCTAATTTAGTCTTAGTATTCTTTAGTTATAGTAAGCCACATATATAGTAGGTGCTTTGATAAATGCTTTTTCTGCTAGTGAAAAATCATCATAGTTTTACGTGCCCCTGGTTCAACATATTGTCCACTTGAAAATACAGAATAATACCCCATATAGGTTGGTAAAAATGTGGTTAGCAGTCATTTCTGTGTAAAATAGGTTGATTGATATATGATTTTAAAGAGAATTGGATGCTGAACAATACAGTGTTTTCAGATTTTTCATCAAGAAATTTTTTGAAAAATATATCTAATAGAATTAAGATTTTATTTTTTTATACATTCTCCACCACTCACGATTTCATGATAACTAAAGTACAAGAATTGACCAATAAATTTCCCCTCCCCACCAAACCCGTACCATTTGATTAACGTTTCAAAATTAAACAGTGACCAATTTGGGTATGACAACTACATTTCCTCCCTGGATACCAATCTTTATTAAAGCTTGAAAGTAAGAAAAAGCATGTAGTCAAAGAGTGGCAGTTCTCTCAAAAAGTCTCTGCCCAGTTTTTATTTTAGTCACTTATATTTATATATTTTTTAATGTCTCAATTAACAGAGTTAGGCTGATTTTGGGTCAGCGGTAAGGTCAGCACTGTGTTCTACTGTATATAGGTCACGGATATTCCCCCAGGTCAACTTCAGCCTACAGTGCCATATTCAAAAGCTTTTGATATTCATGTTTGAGTTCACTTAATGCAAGTTTTTGTTTTCTTATTTTTTAAAAAAAGGGGGTTGGGGGAGGAGACTTCCCAGAAGATTTCTTTGTTTTTATTTTGGTATTTTAAGTAGGGGGAAATTATGGTGAAATGTCCCATGAAATTATAGAAATCATTAGGTACTTAAGTATAAAAATATTTTGAACTTTCAACTTTTGCATATGACATATGAAAATTAATTAAAACTTTCCCTGACCAATGGTTTAAATAAATAGTGTTTGCACACAGTCACACGGCAAACTCTTATGAATGAAACTCTTGAGATTTTGCACACAGAAACTTATAATTTATAATATGGACTTTATCTGGTTTTTAAACCTAAATGGAAATGTTCCGCTTTGAATGCTGTCTTAATTCATTCTGAAACACAGGTTATCAAATATTTCCTAAGCTATTGCACAGACACCCATTTCCAAATACAATTAAGTAGAAGTCTCTTTTGTTACCAAGTTTTAGCAGATGGGTACTTTAATTTTCAAATAATCGAAAGACAGCACTTTTAGCATATATCTTTTTTCCCTCATTAGTGTTCGGTCTTGTTTTATCAGCGAGGATGTGTTTAATTTTTCATTTCTTTTGAAACTGGTGAGTTGAATTTTCATAAAAATTAATGGGAAATTTTCATTTTAATATACTTCATATTAACCGCATGTATTGTCAGATTTAGTATTGGTCTATTCACTCTAAGTCTAAGTCCGATGTTGGGATTCCCCAAAGTGATGTCACTGTGAGACAACTCTTGGCAAACCCACATGGTTAACCCAAAATTTACCACAGAGTTATCCCTTAGCCTTACTAACTAATTCCTTAAACTTTAATTTAATAAAATCATCGCTTTTTTTAGAATTGATCAACAACCATAAATTTGGTATCAATCAATTGACTTTCTCAAGCACTATCTAAATAACTAGGCCCTAAAGATATTATTTCACTTAAAAAAATATTGTCCAAGTACCTATTAGTTTTAGGATTGTCATTAGGCCTCTACTTTATACTGTAACTGTAATAAGTAGTGAGTAGAGTTGTAGAGCTATCAGAATTAGTACTGCAGCCTGCGACAGGGTTTCAAACTGGAATAGCTTACATTTCAGAGGTTTTTTTTTTGTAGGTCTACTAACCATGATATTTACACAGCCCCTTTCACACAGCATAGTTTAGGTTAAAACAAAGGCAGTGTCTATACATCTGGCGCGCCGGACGTATATCTCCCGCATATCTTTGTCCGACGACTAAGTCACATGACCGCCGTAACAAAGTGGCGAGAGATGTCTTGTCGGTCAGCCTTGTCACGTGACAGCGAATGATTCAAAACTATAGTTAATTTTAAAATCTATTTCTCTACCAAGTAATGTACTGAGTATCTTGAATGCAAATAATAGAAAAAAACTAAAGTGAAAGATGCTTGTAAACATTTTTGATTAGTTTGTTATTTGAGTTTGTGTACCAGTAATCCATAAAATAAATTAGGGGCCAGTTTGGAGTAGGAGCACCAATAAAAGTCAAAGATTTCATTTTAAATTGTTTAAATTGCTACAAAATATTTTAAAATTTCTCAAGGAACTACTGTTGCTGATGAACGAACATGATAATATAAATATAGTATAAAATATTTTTAATTAAAATGGGGGGAAAAAAAGATCCTACACCAGGTATTGATCCTCAAATCATGATAACGCCATGCGACCACTCTACTACAAGACTAAGACCACACAATATCTCCCAAATCGCATTTCGTTCGGAATAATAACAACTACTAGCCGTCACGTGACATGCCGCGGACGTATATCTCGCGCACTATTTGTCCGGCGCGCCGGACGTGTAGACACTTCGTAAAACAAAATAGGAGACATAACAAAACTGTGAATGTTTCAGCAAAACGGCTAAAAAAATAAAATTTAAATTAAAAATAACTTAATTTATGCTGTGTGAAGTCTGAGAGTAATGTGCGACAAAGGCCTTTGCCGACACGTCCGCTCTTTTGTGTTTTTTTTTAAAAAAGGTTTTCCCCTAATTTCTACTACTAAGCACAACTACTACAGTTACAGGCCTTCTTTGTTAGTTGAAGAGTTGTCAAGTCTCAAGCTCAGGTGTGAATAGGCTATTATAGGCTTATGGCTTATGCCTACTAACTACTATTATAATATTTTAACTACTAACTACTATTATAATATTTTAACTACTAACTACTATTATAATATTTTAAATTTTAACTATCTTATTTAGTATTTATTACTATTTAAATTTATTTAACAATGAACACTGAACAGTGAAGTAGTGTAGTTTAGAGTAGAGTTAGACTGAAATCTTGTGACGTGAGAAAAAGAGTCTAATTGTATTTAGCAATCCCGAAATCAATTATTCCTCTACTAAGAACATTGAGAATGGATAATTTACAACTATGCCTGTAAAATAATTTGAAATACTGGAAACTTACTTGGGCATTGTTTATAATAATTGTATTAGTGATCATGCATAGTAGAAAACACACTATGTGAAATCCGCAACACAATGAATGCTCCGGAAGTACTGTTGATAAGGCTGATAGTCCGTATAAAAACGAGAGAAGGTAACTTAAGTCTTACGTCTTTCCGCAGTTACTTTCCTGATGAAAACTGCATCTATTCTACGAGTTAAAAAACCCGCTTGTTTGACAACCAAACTAAAATAACTATCACGAGGCCAAGGCCACATTCAGGTTACTATAAGGTTGACTCTACAAGCGTCAGCCACAAAGTTGCCAACGTTGTTAAATGTTTTTGCCAGCAAAGACCATATTGGCCGACTTGTTATTTGTGACAAATGTGAGTGATGATTTAGGCTACCTGAACACCTTTGCTCCACTCAAAAGTAGGCCCACCCCGTCTCGCTTCTTCAACAATGAATGCTAATTAGAGAGCCTCTCTCACTTTCTCTTAAATGCCCCCCCCCACACACACATAGGCATAGTCTACTTTTCTCGATGTAGGCTTCTACTTAATGTTATTGGTCAATACTTTGACAAAACTTGAGTAGACTATGAAATACAATCTGATTCGATGTGATATATTGTATAGTATTGGCTAGGTCTACTTAACTCAGATAAATCGTACAGATAACTTTTTGTGTAGTTTGTTCGATCATAAATTTTTGCAATGTTTATTATGAGGAAAAAATATTTGTAGGGGAGCTGGAACTGGGTGTCTATTTTTATTGAGTACATTTCACTTGATCTATATTATTTCTGTATGAATAGCCCCATCCTCCACTCCACGCCTTTTATCTTTCCTGAATTGCAATATTTTCGAACCTTTCCGCCCCTAAATGGTTTAATCCCCACCTCCTTGGCCATCCTAACATTGTTAGCTTCCCTCCTTTTAATATTTAAATACTTTTACCTATATATTAAGGCTGCGGCTATTCGGACTCGGTATTCAAGAGTGAGAGGTTGGGTTTATTAAAAAAAAATATTTAAAATATTTTTGCCGCTATTCGGACCCGGGTCCCTTTAAACTAAATGCTATTCGGATGTCGTTTGTTGTAGTTTACTTTAGTTAAACTGAAGAAGTAAGTTTATAAACATATGGTGCATTCCAGAGGCGTAGCGAGGGGTTTGGCCCCCGGGGACAAGATTCGCGCCCGGGGACAAGATCCATTTTAAAGTGCCCTTTTTTTTTTCAACTCTCAAACCCTTTATTTTCATCAAAAAAATAATATCAAAGCACATTTTGGCGCCCCTAACTAGCTGGCGCCCGGGGACATCTGTCCCCCCTGCCACCCCCTCGCTACGCCTCTGGTGTATTCAATTATCTTTCATTTGATACCAATTTTTTTCTTACAAACACAACAATAACATTTTATATATTGTTTTAATAAACCCAACCTCTCACTCTTCTCCGGGTCCGAATAGCCACTTCGATATATTAAATGCCCCCCACCCCAATGATCTTTAAACAGCTCTCTTTTAGAGCGTAGGCCTACGCCCCACGTTGTGAAACATTCCTGTATTCTATGCAGAGATGGACTTGGGGCATCCAAGCGGCCCACGACAAAAATTTTACGTAGCTATTTAATGTCAAGTTATTACCAGCCCTGATGGCCAATCCTTGATTATGTTTTTTGATCAAAATTTATAACAGGGGCTATAAAACTAAAAACGGACAGGGCGCCTCCAAAAGTCACGCAACGGCTCTGTGTTACAGATGAGGGGGGCAATAACCCCGTTCATCCCCCAGGATCCACGCATACATGACCCGGAAATTCTCTTTCACATCCCACCTCCCAGCCCCTATTCCCAATAAACACTCGTCACTTCCTGGTTTGTAAAATTTGCTACAAATAGTCAAATGATTGGACTTGAAATTTTAATGTTGGTCGAATTTTACTCTGTTCAATATTTTTTTTTTTCAAACACCGCTTTCGCTGCTTTGTGCTCATGAATAGATTACCTACCGACAGACTGTTAGTAGTTCAGCAAGAGACTAAGCTTAGACTTAGAGTGTTAGGCAGTTGTTGAGTTTGTCAGTGAAGACTTAGACTTAGACAAACCTCAGGTCGGAGAAGGCGAAGGCCTCAGTGCAGCGTAGTGTAAGTGAGGCAAGGCAAACGTAAGATCATGTATCAAATATAGCCTAAATCTGATACTTACAGCAAAATAAAATAGAAATTTAGCGCCATCTTTGGACATTAAAATAGACCCAAAACAGCTTTAATAACATGAAAATACACCCAACAAAGCTGTAGTTAACACAGTTTCAAGTATATTTAAAGCAACATTCTACTTTGAACCACAACAGACTGTCTAATCACGGATAGTTATCGACAAACGTAATCAGTAAGTTCCGAAACATGTCTGTGCGCCGAAACTGGTTACAATAGGCAAATTCCTGCAGATACGACAGAAACAATGAACGACTAGTTCCAAATTGTCTTCTCAACTTTGGCTTCGCTCTCATCCACATATTTTTGATATTCTGGGTATGCACTTCGCTGTCATCAGGATCAACGAAATTATGTTCGTGGACAGCAACAGAATGCTCGTACCGGTATATTCCATGTCCGATTTGATCTATGTGTGCGTATGCTTCTATAAGGCTTGTAGCATGTCTTCAGGCCTGTTTGGCACTTCCAACAAGAAGCACTTGCCACTTCCGCCCTCGATCCCACCAAAGACCCAGTGGCCATCCTGCCACTGACCACGACATTTCGTTTCATCCATCTCCACAATTATAGGTTCTCCATTTACGTCTATTCCACCAATTTTAGTGGCATTCTGTTCCAGCCAAGTTCCACACTCCTCTCACATGTAGTTGCACCAATCAATTACAAGTTTTTTGGTAACAGATGCCTCTTGCTGTATCTGCATCTGTGGCACCGGGGGGGGGGCATATCATACAACCAACGATACACTATGGTGACGATTTGTTGTAATGATAACTGACTGGCTGAAAAAAAAGAATTGTGTCGCACAGATAAGCCGTACCCACAACGGTCTCATTCCTATCTCATACCGTCAATGTCCTGCTGGTACTGATTCAATGTGCACGGCTGATTGCATATTCCACATGATTCTGAGTTGCGAATCAAATTGTAGAAGGCACACAACTGTAATGCTGAATCAGGTTGTTGCACGTGTGGTGAAAGCGTCAACAATCGCCACACTTCATTTAACATGTCGTTTTTACTCAGTATTTCGTTCGGTTGTACAATAGTTGTTTACGCTCGTGGTCTTCCTGCCATTGTGGATTAAAATGATTTAAATTTCTTTTAACGTAGAAACTTCCTGTTGTCTGCTAAGGTATTTCTGATATGATAAGGGGTGCCGTCTATCTAAGTATGTAATTACCGACGCTATATTAGAGTTTTACCCTAAACCTAACCTAATCTGAACCCGAAATGTATCCCTAAACCTAACCTGAACCCTAAATCAAATGTATCCCTAAACCTAACCTGAACCTAAAAATGTATCCCTAAACCCAACCTGAATCCTAATTCACGTCAACTTTAATAAACACGCAAATGACATCTTGGCATCCATTCTCTGCATTAACCCAGTCGCCTATTCTAATAGGCCTAATCATATCGTCATCATTCAGATCCAGTGGCCATTTGAGCAGATGAAACGAGGGAGATTACTACTTTTTGTGTATCGGAAATGGGCGCCGAAAAATCAGAGTTTTTAATTTTCCGATGTGTGTGTCTATTTAATATTAAATGAGTACTTTCGACATATATTTGAGTTCCGCTTCTGACCTTATAATTTGGAAGACATCTTGGCCTACATTTCCATCCAGTAATTTTGAACTTTATTTTGAAAATCTTTGATATGTATAAGGCATCTTCGCTTACAAAGTTTTATGTGAAATAATAAGATAAGGCCCTTTTTTATTAAATCTGTATAAGCATTAGATATTGATCTATATTTGTGCCAATTCTTATTGATGTAGGTCGTGTCCCATGTTTGTTACACTTGTCACAGTGAACTATATCACCATAAGGTGGCTCAGCCTAATTTCGACATGGTGTGGGCCATGCCCCCTTTTTAATGGCGGAAGTTGCCGATACTTGGGAAATATTTAATTATTACCACTATACCGTATGCATCAAAATATTTGATATCTTTTGTTTCATGACGCGATCAGGGGAATGAGGTCACAGAATGTGGAGATGCAGTCCATGTTAAAAAAGGACAAACCAAGTCGTACTTTAAAAATTCATAACTTTAAAAATACAACAGCTAAAAATATGATTTTGGTGTTATAATTCTGTAAAAAATTAGCTCTATTCAACTATGACATTGGTTTATTTTACAAAATGTTTAAATTTTTGACCAAAGTATCTAAGGCTGCAGATGTGTCCTGCGGCCATAATGAAAAATTACACACCCTCAGAAGCTGCTGTTAGTAATAGTTCTTATTATTTATTTATATTTAAGGGTTTAGTCTGGTGTTTTTGTTTGGTCTTTAACAGGCCTACTACTACTATTAAAATTTAAACTAGTATATTGTATAATAAAAAAAATTCAATATGTATTATTATTATTGTTTGTCAACTTTGTCTGTAGACTTGATTGGAGCTGTATTTTTTTTTAAGTGAGGGAAGAGTGGCTCAATTTGCCATCCCCACTCTCTTGTCCTTGCCTATTTGATCCAGTGGCAAGACCTTGTTAATGATTGGAATAAGAACAGGATGCAGTAGATGACCAGCAGTGTTTTTGTGTGTTTCATTGTGCTCTTTATGCTTTCCATGTCGCAGGAGTTAACAAAATCTTCATATTTTCTATGCTAGGCTTTGAACTCCAGTCCACAAGCTTGGGATTGGCTCAGTTTAGATAGCTTTGCCACGCAGTACTAGATAGGCGCCTTCTTCTTCGTTGCCTTTTAACCCGTCTGGGGCATAAGCTGTCCACAAGAATGTTCCATTCATCATGGTCCTGTGCTTTCCTTTCCAGTTGCTTCCAGGTGTATCCCATATTTTGTATGTCTGCCTCTAGCTTGCATCTTTATATATTCTTAGGCTTCCTCTCTTTCTTTTTCCCTGTGGATACCATGTTAGGGATTGTCTGGTGATGCTATCTAGTGGTTTTTGTAGAGTATGCCCTATCCACCTTCATCTTTTCTTTATCATGTCTTCATCAATGAGCACCTGGTAAGTTCTTTCTAGTAGATCTTTGTTGGTGATGGTATTTGGCGATTTGATGTTCAGGATCTTTCTAAGGCATGTGTTTATGAAGGTCTGTACTTTCTGCGTAATACTTTCTTTTGTTTTCCAAGTTTCTGCTCCATATAGTAAGACTGTTTTGAAATTTGTGTTAAAGATTCTACCTATAAATTAGTAATTTTAAAAATTTAGGCCTAAAGGGGCTAATGCAGTAGTTGTGGGGAATTAATTTGTTAGTTTCTTGGTTTTGGTTATTTTAGACAATTTATGTTGCCTAAATTTTAATTTTATAATCTTGATCGCTAATTTAGTGAGGTTAAGTTAGTTGGATTTAAATTTTTTTTAAAAAGCAAAGACCCATACAATAAAAGCTATGACCCGTGGCAAAGTGAAGACAATATAGAGCATATTTGCCCTAATGATATTTTATTTTTGCTGAAACTAAATCAGTCAAAAGAAAGAAGATTATAAAAAATCATCCACTGTCTTAAGGCAGAACGAAAATGTAATCAAAACACTTCTACATTTATTAAAAAAATAATTGTAACTTATCGCTTAAGACATAGATAATGGCTGCTATAATATGGTTTAAAATGCTATGATATAATTTGTTTTCTACATTTGTTTTTTTTTTTTAAAAGGGCATGCTCTGATGCTTTATGAATTTTATTTAACATGTAAGTACAAACTTACTGGGGATTTAAGCTCCTAAGAAAAGTAAGGGAAGAAATGGAGATGACAGTTGGTTCAGGGAAATCCCTGACATCACCACGCATCACTAAGACACAGCAGAGTACACAGATGCATTACACACCTCACAATATGGCATCCGTGGCTGCCGATGCTGCAGCAACAGTCCATGCCAGTGCTCATGTTGGACCGATGAATGATGCCAAAGCTAAAACAGTTTTGAAAGAGGCTGTTGACGCTGTTGTGAACAGCTTTGCCAAACACACTCATGGATATGGGAGAGGTTTGAACATTTCTGTTTTTTTAACTTTGAAAGATAATTTATAAATCTTAGACGCTGTATAAGAAACTATAGAAGGCATTAAGTTTACTTTCTTTATAATTATCAAAAAGAATGAATCTTTCATTTTTATTAGAAAAAGTTTATTAGATTAAATTAATTTTTTTTCCCCCATCAGTCAATGTAGTAGAAGCTCTCCAAGAGTTCTGGCAGATGAAACTCGAAAGAGGAGCTGATTTAACTAATGGTGCCTTGGTTGTGTATGAGTCACAGCCAGCAACTGTGGCACCTTATGTTTGCTACGTAAGCCTTCCAGGTGGCAGTTGCTTTGGAAGTTTTCAGGTAATTTCTATGGTGTTGAGGTAGTAGCAAAAAATTGGTTTTCCTGTTTTCATTTTAAAAAAATTCTTGTGGCGCTTTGTTTTCTGATGATTCATTTTCTATGCAAGATGTTGGTCCGAGTATTTTTCTAGATTAGCAAAAAAGTGATATATTACATACACAGTTATAAGATAAGATAAACGAAATACATAGGCAAATACTTGACCTCATATCCAGAATCTGGCAGGAGGAAGAAATGTCATCAAAAATGGACTCTGCACTCATAATTCCAATTCACAAAAAAGATCTTAAGTTGGTCTGCTGAAACTATAGAGGAATCTCTCTCCTTAATGTTATGTAAAAACTCATCACAAAACTTATAGTAAGAAAACTGGAAAAGTATAGCGAACAGATCCTAGGGGACTACCAATGCGGCTTCTGGCAGAATAGGTCAACGTCAGATCATATTTTTACTTTTAGATACCTCCTGGAGAAATACTACGAATATAACATCAACATACACCAGCTATACTTGGATTACAAAACAGCATAGGAAGGAATTACCTATACAATGCTCTACAGGAACTTGGAGCCCCTAACAAACTTACCTGACTCATGCATATGACGATGGCTAAATCCAAAAGTAGAATTAATCTACAGGGAAAGACTCGAGGGAGTTCCCAGTTAATCAGGGCCTCAGACAAGAAGAGTCACTATCATGTATCCTGTTCAACATCACGTTAGAAAAAGTTTTTTGAAGCATACATGTGAGCACCAGTGGAACCATTACAAACTAATTCCAGAGAATATTACAGAATAACAACCATCAGGCGCTTTATATAGCCAGCCATTGCAGTACCTGGCATACGCAGACGATATAGTGCTCCTGGGTAGAAACAGAAATGAAATAATTAAAGCATTCAGGGAACTTGAAAATGTCTCTGTCAAAGCTGGTCTTGATGTAAATGAAGCGATGACAAAATATATGATAATGTCACGAAACACCTATGCTGATGACAACATCCACAACTTTGAGAAAGTGGCAACATTCATATCTATATATAGGGGCAACTATAAACGAGCATAATGAAATAATGTCGGAGGTGAAAGAAAGGATAACAGCAGACAACCGTTCCTAGTTCAGCCTACAAAAGCTACTGAGAAAGGGGAACAAAGAAGACAATATACACCATCATCATAAGACCGGTAGTTACTTTTGCTCTATGAGACTTGGTCCCTTACCAGAAAAGCAGAGAACCTGCTCAATGCGTGGGATAGAAAAATCCTCAGGAAAATATATGATAGACAATGTTGTTTGGACAATCTATGCAAACCAAGAGCAATTGTGCAAAAATCCACCCATAGTTGTAACAATAAAAAAAAAGGCAGACTGTACTGGAGACATATTGAAAGGATGCCGGATTGTAGAGCAGCAAATGTGATGTACAGGCAGACGGCTCATTGGTCAACCAAGTCTAAGATGGATAGACGATTCGGAGAAAGATTTACACCAGATAGGAGTTCCCCCAGGGTTCTTGCCTGGGGGCGCAAAGCCATGGATTGATATGAATGGAAGGATGTGGAGGAGCAGGCCAAAAATCCAAAAAAAATGGAAATGTGTTTTTTTATTACATTGTACATATTCATTTTCAGCACCTTAATAAATTAATATTTTTTTTTTAACCAAGACAAAATTTTACTATTTTAACAATTTAAACACAATACATCTGAAGTATTTCTTTATAGTATAATTTGGCCATAAATGAACTCCATTAGTGGCAATGACTTAATTAGTGATCATTTAGATTTGGTCATTTCTTGGGGAGTGCCCTGGTAAATACATAAGGATTTTTTATATGTTTTGGTCCTGACTTTGAGAGAAAGAATTGCCCCGATTGAGCTGATCTAAGGTATATGTGAACAAGTGGGTGATATTTATCATCCAAAATATTTTTTAAATTATTCAACAGCAGTTTCCTTCAAATAGTTCCTCAAGTTAAAGATGTTTACTTTTTGTGATATTACTAGCTGTCTTAATTAGATTTCTTAATATTGAGGGTGTAATAATGTCCCATTTCAGATACCCTAATATAGTGAAATCTTCCTTAATAAAGTGAAATCTTCCTTATGTTGTTTAAGAAATGGCAATAATAAAAAAAAAAAAAATATTATACTAATTTTCTCTGAGCTGGTCAAAAATAAGGGACGATCTGACTCACCCATGTCACTGCTTTTTATTAGTATGCATTTTGACATTGTTTTATAAAGGCAAGAAAATAACATTTATTTGATTTACCTCTTTTGTAGACATGTACCACAAAAGCTGAGGCTAGACGGAGTGCTGCCAAAATTGCTCTGATGAATTCTGTTTTCAATGAACACCCGTCTAGAAAAATAACTGATGAGTTCATCGAAAAAGCTATTGGGGATGCAGTGACATCATTTCAGGTAGCGTGCACCTAGAAACATCTTCAGCTTATGAACATAAAATTCAAATTCACTGTTTTGATTCTTCAAATGGGTGCTATATTTTGATTATTTATTATCTTTCCTTCTCCTTTCTGATCAAATCATGGATTTAGATTGCTTCAAAATATAATTTAATGTTATTTGAAGAGTAAATTTTAAAGCTAATATAACTTTTATATTTACATTAATAGTGAATGAGTAGTCTTTCAAATCAATGAATATGTTATTGTTAATACTCCTGATTTAACAGAACTATGTTTGATTGATTTTTTGTAAGTTTTTTTCAAAACTCGTTTGCAAATGTGTCCATAAACTGGTATTAATACAAGGCTATAAAATTTGGTTTCTTTTAATTTCTGTAAATTTTATACTTTCCTGTGTACAGGGTTCACCATCTGATGCTGAAAATCCCAGCACAGGGATAGGTGCTTTTAAGTTTATGCTGGAGGCCAATCGTGGCAGATCCATGTTAGAATTCCAAGAACTTATGACAGTCTTCCAGCTTCTACACTGGAATGGTAGTCTCAAAGCTATGAGAGAAAGGAACTGTTCTCGTCAGGAAGTACTGGCCCATTATTCACACAGGGCTTTGGATGATGACATGCGCTCCCAGATGGCGCTGGATTGGATTGCCAGGGAGCAGGAATCGCCTGATATAATCTCCTCAGAGCTGGAAGTTGCCGAACAAGATTTAGAAAATGCCAGATTAGCTGGGCGCGAGCTTCGTTTCTTCAAGGAAAAGAGGGATATTCTTGTATTAGCGCTCAGTCAGATTAGTCCAGCTGGTGAAACCATAGCTTGAATAATTAATATTAAAGTCTTCATAGGATTCATTAAGTAATAGGTGTCATGCCTTCAAATATATTATATATCTATATATATATATATATATATATATATATATATATATGATTGGGGGTCAGTGGTCAAGATATGTGGATAACAAATTCCTCCCGCTAGTGACTAGAAACAGTGCAAAATGAAATATTGGAGGCACGAAAAACCATAAAGTAAGTTAAAGCTTTTACAAATTAGGTTTGACATTTAAATGTGAATGCTGATACATTTTATGCAACTGGTTTTGATTTGATACTATTTTATACACAAGACAAGATAAGCTTTGCAAGGCTTAGAGAGTTCGTCTCACTTAACAATTTACATGAGAACTTATAAAATTTTTATTGCGTGTTGTGATATGCCGCAGTGTAACCCAATTACAATTTGTTGAATACAATTGTAACACATCAAGTTGAAGTGCCTCATTTTCTTGGAAGGAGCGCCATTTAATATGTACCGTAATCAATTTTATTTTGGGCTTTTTACTGTGTCAGACATTTTAATTTTATATTACCATTTAAAGTTTATTTTAATCTTGTATTCAGTCAGTGACACTGAATGAAGAAATAATTTATAATTTTTATAATTAGTGTACCTTGTGCTTTAGTTCACCTTAAGAACTTAAAATTATAAAATAATAGAGAGAATCAAATCAGGTACCATTTATCTTAGACTTAGAGCTTGCCTATTGGTCACACATTAAACCAGTGCATTGGAACTGTTCTAATATCATTCTGCTGTTGCTCGTAATTGACATTAATGGTGGTCTCCAAGTCAGCATTTAAAAATAAATCTGAATTTCCCTAAATTTTGGGTGTCAAGGAAAGGAGCAATGAGACACAGCCCACTAATGTTATAGTTAAACTAGCACAAGCATGATTTGTGCGATGCAGCTTTATTGGCATGATTTTAAACTTTTTTATATTAGTTTTAAATCCAAGCTGCAAGGTTGATGTTATCTAGTTAATTATTTTAATTAACAACTATGAATTTTACTTAAAAAAAAAAAAATTCAAGAATCTTGCCATTTATTAGTTGTGTGTAAATGTATGATCTGGAGCAAAGGAACAAAACATTAGTCCTTTTTATGAGACTTTTTGTGTAAGTGTAATATAATCAATCCAATGGGTGAGAGGAACATAAAATTGTGTCTACATTCACCACAACTATGTGTTTTACACAATTGTGTGTGTGTGTGTTTTTTGATATCTTAACATTCTTTTTTAAAGATTCTTTTATTTTTACTATTTATTTATGTACAGATAATGTTGATATGTTAATGTTTATTGATCCTTGAAGGTTTAAAAAAAAAAAGATCTGCATGTCTTGTTGCAGAATTTTTATGCACCTTAACTGAGAATAAATTTTAATACTTTGGAAATCCCTCTAATAGATGTAGTGCATATATACCTTTTAAATGGGTTACTGGACAAAAAACATTTTTTTTATATATGTAATGGAATGCCCGTAAATGTATGGATCAGCTCTTATGATTAACGAAATCAATGCATTAGAGCTCAATGATTTTTACAATTTTAAATTCGGAGTTAACTATTTTACCGTGAATACTTCATTTTTCAAAAACTTATAAGTATAAGTGTATGAATTTCTTTTTTTAAATGTACAAAATGTTTAGCTTTTGTACATTTGAAATTTAAGTGTGACACCGTAAGTGAATTGGCCTTAACACAGTTACTTTATGCACTTTTAGAGTTGTGACGAAGGATCTTTATTTATTATTATATATACTTATATTTACACATACATGTCATTATTTGAATAAAAACGCAATTGCGAATTGTGTGTTATTTTTATTTTGCAATCTACAGGCTTATTATGGTCTTTATGACATTTTATTTATATATACAAAAGGCAAGTATGAAAATAATATACATAGTTAAGGTTTTACGATTACCATCTGATATTGAGAAATACAAATACAATTTATCACGACCGGTATTTTAGAAAATGTGTTTCACCTTAGCAATAATTTAATATTTATTTCTGCTTCAGGCATTTTTTATGAAAAAAAAAAAAAAAAATTCATAGTTTAAAAAAAGGGATTAAAAATATACATACATTTGTTAAAAAAATTTGTTTCACCTTAAAAATAATTTAATATTTATTTCTGATTCAGGCATTTTTTATAAAAAAAAAAAAAAAAAATTCATAGTTTAAAAAAAGGGATTAAAAATATACATACATTTTTTAAATGACCATTTAAAAAAAGGTTATTTTAAATTAAAAGCCTTAAAAGACAGTAACTATAGTTAAAAATTTCATATCTTAAAGAAATAGTCTGCCCGCTAATGTACAATAAAGCCCACTATTTAAAGCTGTAAACTTGCGGAATCTTCAAACACTTTTCAGGTTAAAAATCCAAGTTGTAACTAAAATTAAAAGATTCAAACTGTGTTTAATCAAGGATGTTGAACCTTAATGTTTTGGCTTTTTTAAAATATATAGCACACAATTTTTATTATTGGAATTAAATTACATTTTTTTAAAGCCAGGGCCCTCCAACTTTTTAATCACAGGTTCACCATCCCTCAGACACTGTTGGGTGCCGGATGATTAATTATTGCTATTATTTGAACAAAATATTAACAAATTATTATTACATTTCACACTTCTTATTTGTGATTTATGGTGGTGAAAAATGGGGGGAAAATCACACAAAAAATGAAGAACAAGTTTAATCAAAATACATTCATTTATTATGGGATGTATGGGCCTGGTTTTTGGTAATTGTAAGTTCACTGTCCAGTTCCATATCTTCCACCCCTGTACCCAGGGCTGCCACACCTTGGGAACGCAACAAAACAACGAATGAACTTGTCGGCAGAAAGCCTTCGTCAGCGAACAAAACAACAGAAAAAACGGTATGAAAATAAAATTAAAAAATAGCACTTTGCTTAGAAGTAGTATCCGTGGGCAGCAAAAGAGATATGCTTCTGTTGTTTTGTTCGCTGACGAAGGCTTTCTGCCGACACGTTCGTTGTTTTTTTGCGTTCCTTTTTTCAGGTTTTACCCTACTTTGTTTTACTCATTTTATATCATATTCATAGTATTAAAATCATACTTGGCATGAACAATACTCAATAATTAATTCATGATTTCTAACTAAGGCACTTCTATTTAATTTTCTCAAGACTCTAGTGGAGTAATGGAGGAACTTTTGTTGTTATTAATATTCATTTGTAGACTTTTATTCTCAATTCTTTCTATTTTGTTTGTGTGCCACTGCCGAGCTTTATGGGCTTTCCATAAATAATATCGCGCTATTTTGGCCTATTTTTTTAACCAACTCATCCATTGTCACATATGACTCTGCATCATTTTTAATATCGAGCGGCTATTGAAGCTAGCGACAATGCATATTTATTTGTGATTAAATTTGTACCGAACTTGAAAAAAGAAAAAAGAAAAGGGAAATTGTTTCCCTTGTTACAGGTAACGGAAGTGCCACGTGTGTCGCTGTCATCAAACATTCTATCAAGATGGCGACCTCTTTACAAGAAAAGCAAGTTAATGCTTTGAAACGTATGTTAAATTTTAATCAGGTGCCGACCAAAACATCAAATGCTGAACCACAGTGGAAAGTCCTTATATACGACAGATTTGGACAAGACATTATTTCTCCTTTATTGACTGTAAAAGAGCTGAGAGATATTGGTGTTACTTTACATCTTAGTCTACACTCCGACCGGGATCCAATTCCCGATGTCCCTGCTATTTACTTTGTGATGCCAACAGATGATAACATTCAGCGTATTTGTAGAGACTTCCAGAACCAACTTTATGAATCATACTATCTTAACTTTATTTCTGCGATTTCGCGGCAAAAATTGGAAGATATAGCTCAAGCTGCTCTTCAGTCGAATGCAGTTCAACAAGTTTCAAAAGTTTTTGATCAGTATTTGAACTTCATTTCCCTAGAAAATGAATTATTTACTTTGAGACATCAGGATAGAGATTCAATTTCTTACTATGCCATTAATAAAGGAGATGTAAAAGACACTGAAATGGATTCAATAATGGACAGTATTGTTGACAGTCTATTTTCTGTGTTTGTAACCATGGGTGTTGTTCCTGTGATTCGTTGTCCTCGTGGAAATGCAGCTGAAATGGTTGCTGAAAAACTAGATAAAAAACTTCGAGAAAATTTAAGGGATGCTAGGAATAGTTTATTTACTTCAGATGGAGTGCCAGGTCAATTCAGTTTTCAAAGGCCTCTTTTAGTAATATTAGATCGCAACCTTGATATGGCTACCATGCTCCATCATACTTGGACTTATCAGGCACTAGCTCATGATGTATTAGACCTGAAACTCAATAGGGTTGAAATTGAAGAAGTAATAGATGATGAGATGCATGTAAGTTCTCCTACCAGAAAACCAAGAACAAAAAAGAAGGTTTATGATTTATCTCCCCGTGATAAACTTTGGACTTCTCAAAAAGGTCACCCTTTTCCAGAGGTGGCTGAAGCTGTCCAAGAAGAGCTAAATGGCTACAGACAAGAAGAAGGAGAAGTAAAAAAGCTCAAAGCTGCCCTCGGATTGGAGGGTGAAGATGACACAGCAATTAGTATGCTGTCAGATAATACAGCCAGACTTACCTCAGCTGTGACCTCCCTGCCTGAATTGTTAGAAAAGAAGAGACTGATAGATATGCATATGAATATTGCAACAGCTCTACTAGAGCAGATTAAAGCCAGAAAACTTGATACCTATTTTGAAACTGAGGAGAGAATGATGAGCAGATCAACACTTAACAAATCCCTTATGGATATTATATCTGACCCAGAAGCTGGAAAGTCAGAAGACAAAGTTCGTCTTTTCATCATTGCACTGATTTGTGGACCACCAATGTCAGAGGCAGAGATAGATCAGTACTGCGTCGCCCTGCAGGCAGCCAACTGTGATATATCGGCTGTTCAGTATGTTCGTCGTTGGAAATCATATTCAAAATTACAGGCTCCACCTAGTCAGTACACAGGAGGGAGCATTAGCTCTACAAGCATGTTTTCGGGTCTTCTCTCCAAAGGCTCACAATTTGTTATGGAAGGTGTGAAAAATCTAGTGGTGAAAGGTCACAATTTACCAACCACACGTATTGTTGATGCACTGATGGAGCTTAAGTCACTACCTGATAGTGAAGACTATCGTTATTTTGATCCAAAGCTATTAAGAGCAGACGCCTCTTCAGTACCTCGAAACAAATCTCCATTTCAAGAAGCTTATGTCTTTATTGTTGGAGGTGGAAACTACATTGAATTTCAGAATCTAATGGACTATGTGAAGTCAAAATCAACACCATCTGTTCCCAAAAAAATTGTTTATGGATGTAGTGACTTAGTTAATGCTGCTCAGTTTTTAAAACAATTATCCCATTTGGGACAGGAAATCTAAAGATATCTGATGCTTTTTAAAATAACTTATTTTGTTCTTCTGTTTCTTTGTTATTGCTTATGCTTGGTTATAGAAATAGTTACTGTTGGTTTTAAGTTGGTACCGGTACTGGTTATAAGAATTTTGATTATTCATGCACTGTAAATTATTGTTTTCAAATCAGTTCAAATAAATTTGTATAACTTTTAACTCTTCAATATTAAAGTTTTGGCAACAAGTTGGGGGTCTATTGCAAATCACCTTAGCCTTTCACTGTTGCAATCCAGCAGTACTGAGAAGGTACTAAAATATAGTTTGAGGCAAGTAGCATGACAGACTTACTCAATTTTTTCGGTTCCAAAATTATATTATTTAGCCAAAGTTTAATTTAAACTTAATTTAAATAGTCATTTTTAAATATTTTTTATAGTAACAAAGTATTTTTTACCCCTTTCCAGTTAAAAAAGTTCTTTTATAAGATTTTGCAGTGTCAGTCTCAAATTTTGTGAACCTGGAGAAGAATGCTTACTCTGGAGGCCTTAGTAATTAGAGTCTAGTGACAGTTTTAATTGTATCAGAATTCTGGAAACAGCTGCTCAATGGAATTTCAAAAGTAAATGTACCAGTACATTAAAAAAAAAAAAGCTTATCAACTTTGTTAAAAATGATACCTGCCACGTCTGAATTAATACTGAACACAGTAAACCTTTTTATTTTATTTAAAAATTTGATCATCACTCATTGCTTTTGCAAGAAGTCAAAGTAGATTTGAAATGTATGTGGTATTTTTTCTGACTAGAAATAAGCCACAATAACATAGTGTATACGGTACCGGTATTCCTTTGCTTTTATTACCGGGTACCTCTTCAAAGTCAAAGGAAATTCTTTGAATTACCATTATAAATTAGATACTACATGATAAAGGTGTAAATTACGAATAAGTTATGGTAGTTTTCTTCAAAAGCCGCATGGATCAAATAGTGTTGAAAAAAAGAAAAAAACAACAAAACACTTGGATAATTGAAACTCTTTTAAGAATTGTTGAAAAAAAATTTGCTTTGACTTTGAATGACAGGTTAACGTCCAGTAGTTGGTAGTATGGCAGTCAAATATATTTTTTTGTGTATGTTTTATTATAACTGTAATATTTTAGTTACCATGGGCTGTTACGATGTGGGCAAGAATTTAAGTTTGAATCCCATAAAATTAAGCAGGATTGTATATTTATTTTTGGGAATTTAAACATATTTTTTTCTTTCTGTATGTGAAGATAGGTTTACTTTCATTTTCATGCAATATGTATATTTACTATTTATGATACTTAATATGGTACATATTTGAAAATTAGTTCTGTTCAAATGGCACATTTAAAAATCATTTATGCTGGCTAATGATTAAAATTTTATTTTTTCAGAATTATTAAGTTTTTATGCACCCTTTCAACAGCATTGCGAATGTGGTCAGTTATTAAATTTATTTGGTGTTGTCTTACATCAAGAAGGATAGAAAATATTGTTTCCCCATTGCCTAAAAACATTTGCACTTTGTCTTAATTTTTAAGCACAATATATATTCTTCCCTAAAATTATTGCTGAAATTGTTTGCAAAACTCTAGTTCAGCTTAACCCACGAACTTGAACTATCCATTTAATCATTCTGTACTGTGCTGGCAATTTAGAGCTTTTTGGGTGCCTTTGAATTAGAAAAATGTGATTTTTCACATGTTAATACTATAGCTAGACCCCATAAAGTATATATTTATTGAAGTTAGACTGAGTGGGGAATCATACTGGCTATTTATTAATGATATTTTATACTAGCTGACCGTGACCTTGGAGTGACCAAAAGTAAAGAAAATTTTTCTTTTCAAGTATCTCAAACTACAATTTTTTGACGGCATATTCTTATAATGTAATATGTTAGCATTTTTATTTATCTTTCAGAAAATGTATTATTTGTAAATGTTTTGGTTATTAATAGATTTTAAAAAAAAATTCTTCTGATAACTATAATTACGTTCAAGAAGAAAAGTTATCAAAGCACGACATAAACAATACATACATTACTAAATAGCAAGAAACAGATACAATTTTAAAAGCTGCTATATAAATATATTTAATCCATTAAATGAAATATAAATAAACATACATAGAACAACATCCAATTATTTTTTGTTGGTACATAATCATCTGCAACATAGTTTTGAACGAGTCCTGTTGTTGAGGCAATACCTATTCGTTCTAGGCTTAGAATACTTAGATCGTCCGAGTCCGAACTTTAGCTTTCTGAACCACTAGAAAAATAATCTGAATTAGCATTGTCTTCGTGTGTGATTCGAAAATCATCTTCCGAATCACTTAAATCACTAAAAAGTTATCAAAAAGATTCCTAACTGATTTATTTTGGCCTCACCCATTTCGCAAAAATCTAAGTACACAAATTTGCTTGATAAAGATCGTTGTAAAAAAATAACTCGAAACTTTAAAAAAAGGACACAGAAGAGCGAAAAACGAAAGTCCATTTATTAATAAAAGGAAGTACCGGTAGTTATATTTGGTTTAAAATATTGGACTGGAACTTATTCTTTCAACACAATTTTTATCGGCCAACAAAGTTTGGGAAGGGAAGATCGGCCGACGACAATTCGTGGGTTAAAAAATTAGAAAATTCAATATCGGTATTACATTTTTACTGCAGGCTAATACTTAAATAAAAAAATAATCTGAATGATTTGATGAGTGACTGTAATACAAGTAAGCAGGGCGATAACACGGCAAAATATGCTGGGGAAATTGTCATTCGCTTGACAAATACCGATATTTAAATAAACGATGCCATAACAGACAGCATGCTTGTTTGAATGCATTTTTTTATCTGTTAAAGGGGTTAGATGTATAAATTAAAGTTCCCTTCTTATAAGTTTGACAAGTTCAGTGTGTCACAGTCATGCACAGTACGTTTCTTAAAACAATGTTTTTAATGCTGTATGTGGTAGAATGTATTGTTAGCAAGTATGATTGGATGACTTAAAATAAAAAAAAATATTGAAGCAAATGGTTTCATTAAAAAGTCGGAGACGTACACTTTCAGACGTACTCTGAGGGAGACGTACACTGTCGGAGATGTACACTGTCTGTGTCACCATTAAGCCTGTTAATAAATAAATTTATTTTGTATCTCAATACTTTCTTCAATTATATGTTCTCAGATATAATAAATATTTATGTCGACTTATTCATGGTCTTTGCATTACCAAAAAATGCCAAAAAAATAGAAATGATATCTGGGATACTTGGTGTTGTTCAAGTCTCAATAAATATCTGAATGCACATTATGTTGACTCCCAGTTGTTTTTTTTTCCCAACCTTGTTCTAGATTGTCAATCTTAAACTAAAAGTCAAAGCAGGTTAAATTCTGCATTGTAGCTTTTTAAAAAAGTTTTATCTTGATACATTTCATCATAACTTCATTGTGTGACTGAGATCCTATTCGCCATACAACTCTTCTAAATCCACATTTAAATGTGCAGTATGTCTTATCCTTAAAGCTTACACTTGCATATACCGGTACTGTTTTATTTATACAATTTGCTTGTGTCCCATTAATCTAATTCCACTAGACCAGTGGGTCTCAACCTTTCTAATGCCGCGACCCTTTAATAGAGGTTATGTTGTGGCGACCTCCAGCCACAAAATTATTTTCGTTGCTACTTCAAAATTGTAGAGCATATGTGTTTTCAGATGGTCTGAGGCGACCCACAGGTTGAGAACCACTGCACTAGACAGTATCAGTAATATTTACTCAAGAGCATAGTTACATTTCTTCTTTTTGGGTTCTTTACCAAACTGCACACAACTCCAGGTCTAGGCAAAGGTAACTTTAAAAAAATATATTTAAACGTTATTATAGATGGAAATTTGATCTAACGGAAATTTGGCGAATCTTTTTTTGCACTTCACAAGTTAAAATTTCAGTCAAATTTCTTTTTGAACGCACTACACTATAATATAGTCAAACAAAATAATGCGTTCAAAAATAAATTTTATGCAAAATTTTAAGGTGTGAACTATAAAAAAAAAGATTCGACCAAATTTCCGTTCGATCAAATTTCCGTCGACGAAGTTTTTCCTATTAAAATTCCGGTTACGTATTTCGTGTCATCTCCCACCTAAAAAGACAACTTATATTTTGTTTCATGCAAATCAACTAGGTTAGGGGTCATCCATAAAAGACGTCCACACAAAAAAAGGGGGGGGGGGTTCAGCAAAAAGTGGACAAAGGGGGGGGGGGGGGGGGTTTAAGACAAAGGGGATGTCCACATTGTAGTGTTTTTTTGAGTGCAGCAGTTTTGCATAAATTTACTGCAAATTTACTCCCCGATCACAGTTACAGTAGCATGCCTTTTGATCCCTATTGTCCATCGGTGGCTGGAAGAATTTCCAAGAGAATATGTTTCTGCTGTACATATTTCCCATCACAGGCGGCAATGAAAAAACATAAGGT